GCTCCCCCCCCACAAGCCTTGGCTCTCGCTAAGATGCACCTAATACTAGTTAGGTAATCGTGGAGTCCTGTAGCTCAGTGGTTAGAGCACTCGCTTTGCAAGTGAGAGACCTGAGTTCAATTCCAGGCAGAGGGCCAAACCTCGGGCAGGTTTCCTTACTCCACACAGAGCCTAATAATATTCCCTCCAAAACCAAAAACAATACTAAATTGATCATTTTCAATCTACGACTGTTTGTGGGACATTGCTGTGCGCAATTGGCGGCCGCGTTCGCCCACAAATATACAGTCAATTCACTTTACAGTGTGTTCTGTGAAGCGCTTTGGGACGTCCTCCCGACGTGAAAAGCGCTATATCAAATGCAAGGATTATTATTATTATTATTATAAACAGGATGTGTCCCTCCAGGGAGAGAGAGCGAGAGAGAGCGCACTCCATTCCAACAATCTATCTCAGGGATTTCCATGTGTAGGTGGAAGGCAGGGAATTCTCAGTCGGGTTTGGAGACTCTTAAGCAACGGTGATGGGTTTCCGCACGTGTGTCAGACACCACCACTCCACCCCCCCAAAAAAAAACCTTTAAATGTTCTTGCCATCTTGGTTTCAATAGCAAAAGGGTCCCTGATTCTGTGTAAATATTCCTTTTCAAGTCTTCCCACTGATAATCCTGATCTCACGGCTTTTTTGTGAGGATCAAATTAACAAACGGATTAACGTCCCGAGGCAATAATCTTTCACTGTTTATTCTCCGAAGAAATAACCCCACAGCCTTTAAGAATTGATTAATCTGTTGCGTTTGTAGTGAATAACAAGCAGCTGCATGCTATCTCTCCAGCTTGAAGTTTAAAAATAGCTCGGTCTTAAAATCGCTCGGTCTGTAAAGGAGGTTACTCCAGGGTAATGTGGAACTACATTTGGATGTTATCTGCTATTTTTAAACGCGTTCCTTATTCCCAGGCGTGAGTCTCTGAGGCTTTCTGTGAAGTCGGAACCTTGGAGATCTTAAATAAAACTCATAAGAGCCACACACACGTACACACACACACGCATACACACACGTACACACACGCATACACACACGTACACACACACACACGCATACACACACGTACACACACACACGCATACACACACATACCGAGGGTTTCAAACTGTTTATCTGACCAAAAGATGACGCTGAGAATAAACAATGCAGGTGCTTTGATGTATGTCTTCCCTGAGAGTTCTATCAAATGGCTTATTAGGATAAATCACTGCCTTTGTAATTAAAATCTGTAGAGGGAGAGCGGAGAAAGCAAGTAAGCGTCTTAGATGGTCTTGAACTTGAGACGTCTTCCACCAATGTGGCTGCCCTCAAGAGAGGGTGACCTGCTCTTAATTAAAAGTAGGAGGAAATTAAATAGCAACTCACACACACAATAATAATGATAATCATATAGCAATAATAATCCTTGCGTGGAATCCTGTAGCTCAGTGGGTAGAGGACCCGGGTTCGATTCCCGGGCGAGTCAGGGTGAAACGTTGGGCAAGTTTCCTTCCTCCACACACACACACACAGACACACACGCAGACAGACACACACACAGACAGACACACACACACACGCAGACACACACACATACGCAGATGCACACACACAGACACACACACACGCCTCTGTTTACCAGCAGGAAGTAGGAACCCGCTTGTACATTGAAGACGTGGTGAGGCACTATATCAAGTGCAAGGCTTATTATTCTTATTAGTTGATGCAGCGCCTGATCACGTCGTTGAGACGTCTCAAAGCGCTTCACGGCGTATCCGGTAAAGTGGAGTGACTCTCACATACACTCACACACAGACACATTCACACACTCACACTCTGCAGCTGGTGTGAGACATTGCAAGGAGCCTTTGATTTATTTACATTGCCTGTTAAATGTCAGCTCATATCAGTGCCCCAGTTAAACCTCTCTTGTCCATCTATCTCTGCTCCTATTTCAATCATTCTGCTCAGCAATCTTCCAGTTAAAACGGATTATTATTATCAGCTTTTTTGATGTTTTCCTTTCACCGCATCCTTCTGGACAGGATTTTCCTCTGGGATCTCTCCCCTCCTCTCTCTGTCTCTCGCTCTCTCTGAGCTCGGGAAATATTCCCTGTCAGCACAGCGTAAGTAAGGAGGAATATGGACCGATTCCCTGAAACACAAGGATCATCAGGTGGTCGGGGAATGAGACGGCGATCACAGCCAGAGGAAACGTGATAAAAAATAAATTTTTAAATAATAAAAAATAAATGATAACAATAATAATCCTGGCATTTGACACGGCGCCTTATTGCGCCTTCGAGACGTCTCAAAGCGCTTCACACGATGCACTGCAAAGTGAATTGACTGCATATTTTGCGAGCGAAACACATCAGCCCTTCACTATCCAGCGCCTTGGGACATCTTCTGATGTAAAAGACGCTGTGTAAATGCAATTTGTTGTTGTGTTGTTGTTGGAGGTGCCATCCTTCAGATGAAGACGCCATGAAAGACCCTATATCGGATGTAAAGGTTATTATTATTATTATTATTATTATTAGCTTCATGCGTTGCCTGATTGCAATACTTCAGGGTTGGTTTGTCTCAAGTCAAGGTTAAAAATAATAAACCTTTCATTACAGAATAAATCTGCTTCCGCAGTGCAGTTCACGTTTAAATGCCTTTGACAGATGCTCGAGAGGTTTTCACCAAACTGGGATTAAAAGAATAATAATAATAATAATAATGATCCTTACAGATGGAGAGAGAGAGAAGTGGGAGAGAGGAGGAGGAGTGAGATGAGGGAAAGAGAGAAGGGGGAAAGAGAGAGGGGGGAAAGAGAGAGATAAATAGAGTCTCCAAACCAAGCTGAGATTTCCATGTGTCCCACCTACACATGGAAACTCCGGAGATGGATTGTTGGAATGCGCTCTCTCTCTCTCTCTCTCTCTCTCTCTCTCTCCCTGGAGGGACGCACCCTGGTTACCTAATTCCGGAGAGTATTAGGCGCAGGTTGGTGAGAGCCAAGCCTTGGGGTGGGGTGGGGGGAGCCCAGAGTGTGGGTTGGGATAAATGCTGTCTCTCTCTCTCTCTCTTCTTGTTGTCCACCCCCTGAAAAAAATACGAACACACACACACACACACACACACACACACACGTACACGCACGACTTCAATTGAGAAGACATCACAGCTCAAGGTTAACAGTTAGAATTGCTGTGTAAATGGAGAATTGTGGCATCTGTCTCCTGAACACGTCTCTAACCGGGTTTCAGTGCTTCTGTCCAACCAACAGTCAACAACAACAATAATAATAATCATTGCATTTGATACAGCGCCTTATCACGTCTTCGAGACATCTCCAAGCGCTTCACAGGATATACCGTAAAGTGAATTGAATGTATATTTTGTGGGTGAAACACGACAGCCAATTGCGCACAGCGATGTCCCCACAAACAGCCGTGGACTGACTGACCGCATTATATTTTTTTGAGTGTATTATTACCCCCGGGAGAGAGATCCGCCAATCGACTAACAACCGGGTTCCTACTGACTGCTGGTAACCAGAGGCGTGTGGGAGGAGTGAGGAAACTTAACTAAGGTTTCGCCATGTCCTGTCCCGCCCGAACGGCCGGGAATCAAATCCCGGGTCCTCTCGCTTCCGAGGCGAGTGATCGGAGGCAACTAGACTCCTACTTACTGCTGTGTGAACAGAGTGTAATAACAGGTGTCAGTACCAGTCTCTGATGTTTAGTCTGTGATCCTCACTCTACCTGTTGTGTCTGTAGATTTGTTCCTCTCTCTTTCCCTCCCTCCCTCCCTCTCTCTCTCTTTCCCTCTTGTGTCTGGTGTGTGTGTGTGTGTGAGGGACCTTCACTGTCAGCAGCTACAGGTGGGGCTTTAAAAAGAACCTCTTCTCTTCCTCTCTCTCTCTCCCCTCTCCCTTCCTCCCCACTCACCCACTCCTCTGTGTCTATCTGCCTTCCTCTCTCTGCCCCCCATCTCTCCCCCCTCACCACCTTTCTCTCTCCTCCCTTCTCTTTCTTTCTCTCTTCCCCCCCTTTCTCTCTCCTCTTCTCTCTTTCTTTCTCTCCCCCCATCTCCCTCTCACACGCCTCTGTCGGTGTAGCCCAGTGAGGCTGACGGTGGTATAGACGGACATCACATCACATCGCACTCTGTACCACTGAGAGAGGAGGAGAGGAAGTCAGAGAACGATTTCACCATCAGCTCATATACCACCAGAAAAGTGACCAGAGAGGGTGTGAGACACAGACAGAGAGACTGAGACAGACAGAGAGACAGACAGAGAGACTGAGACAGACAGAGAGACAGACAGAGAGACTGAGACAGACAGAGAGACAGACAGAGAGACTGAGACAGACAGAGAGACAGAGACAGACAGAGAGACAGACAGAGAGACAGACAGATAGACAGAGAGACGGAGACAGACAGACAGAGAGACGGAGACAGACAGACAGACAGACAGAGAGACTGAGACAGACAGACAGAGAGACTGAGACAGACAGAGAGACAGAGACAGACAGAGAGACAGAGAGACGGAGACAGACAGACAGACAGATAGACAGAGAGACGGAGACAGACAGACAGACAGAGAGACAGACAGACAGACTGAGAGAGAGTGTGAGTGAGAGCCACAGAGAGTGACAGAGGGGAAGTCAGTCAGAGAGAGAGAGAGAGAGTGAGAGCTTTCAACAATAAAAAAGGCTGTAAAAAAAATTCTCTTCTTCCTTATCCGCAAACCAAGTGATCAGTGAGTCTGAGATACAGAGAGAGAGAGAGAGAGAAGGAAGAAAGAAAGAAGAGAGAGAGACACAGAGAGAGACTGAGAGAGAGACAGAGAGAGAGACACAGAGAGAGACACAGAGAGAGGGAGTAGCGGAGCTCTGACCGCGACCCCAGACACTGTGCCCACAGTCACTTCACCCCGCCCTGGGGGGTGAGACCCGGGGCTGGGGCTGTTGGATGGGGAGGGGGTGGGTGGGGGGAAGGGGGAGAGGCTTTTCTTGGACTGTCCTTCAGAAGGAAATACCGTTGATCCATTGCCAACACCGTGTCGGGTTCTCGCCCCTCTCCCCTGTGGCTGAGAGGTAAGTGGGGTTTGGGGTTCGGGGGTCAGTGGAGACCCCACAATCTGATCGTCACAACACAAAGTTTCTCTACTTTGCTGATACAGAGACCCTGTAACAGGTGCCACTGGGCACGGGGTGGGGGGGGGGAGAGTGGGGGGAGTGGGGGGGAGAGTGGGGGAGTGGGGAAGTGGTGGGGGAAGTGGGGGGTGGGGGGGGGAGAGTGGGGGAGTGGGGGGGAGAGTGGGGTGTTGGGGGGGGAGAGTGGGGTGTGGGGGAGTGGTGGGGGGAAGTGGGGAGTGGGGGTGGGGGGGGGAGTGGGGGGGAGAGTGGGGGTGTTGGGGGGGGAGAGTGGGGGTGTGTATGTTGGGAGAGTGTGTGGGGTGAGTGTGTGTGTGGGGAGAGAGTGTGTGGGGGGGAGAGAGTGTGGGGGGAGAGAGAGCGGGGGGAGAGTGTGTGGGGGGGAGAGTGTGTGGGGGGGAGGAGAGTGTGGGGGTGGAGAGAGAGTGTGTTGGGGGGGAGAGAGTGTGTTGGGGGGGAGAAAGTGTGGGGGGTGGAGAGAGTGTGTTGGGGGGGGGTGTGGAGAGAGTGTGTGTGGGGGGAGAGAGTGGGGGGGGAGAGAGTGTGTTGGGGGGGGGAAGAGAGTGTGTGTGGGGGGGAGAGAGTGTGGGGGGGGGAGAGAGTGTGTGGGGGGGGGAGAGTGTGTGTGGGGGGGGAGAGAGTGTGTGGGGGTGTGAGAGTGTGTGTGGGGGGGGGGGGGGTGGAGGTGAATGTGTCTGTATTTGTGTACAGTAGTTATCCTCCCAATCCATCATCTCACAGTATGTTACCTGTCACTCACTCACTCACTCACTGTGTGTGAGTGTCTCTGGTGTAATGGTGTGTGTGGTCTCTCTCTCTCTCCCCCTCTCCCCCTCTCTCTCCCCCTCTCCCCCTCACACACACTTCGCTAAATCTCAGCCCTTAACGCGCATTTTCCTGCCTTATTTTTTCGCTCTCAACGCTCTCAGTGATTATCCCTCCCGCTGGGTGGCTGTTTTGGTGCTGTCCGCAATAATGTGCGCGTTTTCAGAGCACCAGCAGTGAAAGGTAAATAGATCGCCACAAGAATCCATTAGATTGGTATAATTTTATATATATATAGAGAGAGAGAGAGAGAGAGAGATATTCATAGTTGTGTAAAAAAAACACAGATCCCGGCAATTAACCAGAGATATACAGTCAATTCACTTTACAGTGTATCCAGTGAAGCGCTTTGAGACGCCTCTGAGACCTGATCAGACGCTGTGTCAAATGTCGGGGAGTGTTGTTGTTGTTGTTGTTGTTGAATTCATATTATTTAAAGGAGACATTTTATTTCGCCCCAAATTGAACGGTCTTCACAGAGTCTGTAATAAATGAGTTAACTTTTTACTCCCCTCTCCTCCCCCCTCTCTCTCCCCATCCCCATCTCTCCTTCCTGCTCTCTCTCTCCCCTCTCTCCTTTCTTTCTCTCCTTCCCCCTCTCTCTCTCCTTCTCTCTCTCCCCTCCTTCCCTCTCTCTTTCTTTCTCTCCTTCCCCCTCTCTCTCCTTCCCTCTCTCGTTCCCCCTCTCTCTCCTTCCCTCTCTCCTTCCCCCTCTCTCTCCTTCCCTCTCTCGTTCTCTCTCTCTCTCTCCTTCCCTCTCTCTCTCCTTCCCTCTCTCGTTCTCTCTCTCTCTCTCCTTCCCTCTCTCATTCTCTCACTCTTCCCTCTTTCGTTCTCTCTCTCTTCTTCCCTCTCTCATTCTCTCTCTCTCCTTCCCTCTCTCTTTCTCTCTCTCTCCTTCCCTCTCTTGTTCTCTCTCTCCTTCCCTCTCTCATTCTCTCTCTCTCCTTCCCTCTCTCGATCTCTCTCTCCTTCCCTTTCTCATTCTCGCTCTCCTTCCCTCTCTCATTCTCTCTCTTTCTCCTTCCCTCTCTCTTTCTTTCTCTTTCTCCTTCCCTCTCTCGTTCTCTCTCTCTCCTTCCTTCTCTCTTTCTCTTTCTCCTTCCCTCTCTCGTTCTCTCTCTCTCCTTCCTTCTCTCGTTCTTTCTCTCTCCTTCCCTCTTTCATTCTCGCTCTCCTTCCCTCTCTCATTCCCTCTCTCCTTCCCTCTCTCATTCCCTCTCTCATTCTCTCTCTCTCCTTCCCTCTCTCGTTCTCTCTCTCCTTCCCTCTCTTGTTCTCTCTCTCCTCTCAATTCCTCTCTATTGAAGGATGTGATCGATCAAATCTGTAATAAATTAAATAAGGTTTTACCCTCCTCTCCCCTCTGTCTCTCCCACCCCCAACCCCCTGAGTTGAGTTGGTAGCCAATGGTTTGTTCTGTATAAATAATAATAATAATCTAAATACAATCATTTATAAATAATCTACAAATAATCTCTAAATAATAAGAATAATAATTACTCTATAAATAATCGTCTATAATTAATAATAGTCCATCAATAATAATAATAATAATATTGTGGTTGTTCTGCTCCTAGATGGCGGCTGATGGCGAGGGAAGGGGTTGTGAATAAGTAGCCGATCTGTCTCCAGGTGTTGGAGCGGGCAGTGGTGTGAACATGGCGGGTGGAGTAGCTGCTTGGCTCCCCTTTGCCAGGGCAGCAGCCATTGGATGGATGCCAGTCGCTAACTGCCCCATGCCTCTGGCCCCAGGGGACAAGCACAAGAAACAGGACGAGTTGTTGGTCCTCAACGTGAGCGGGAGACGCTTCCAGACCTGGAGGAACACCCTGGAGAGGTTTCCGGACACCCTGCTGGGCAGCACAGAGAAAGAGTTCTTCTTCAACGACGAGAGCAAAGAGTATTTCTTCGACCGAGACCCTGACATCTTCAGGAACGTGCTGAACTTCTACAGGACTGGCAAACTCCACTACCCGCGGCACGAGTGCATCTCGGCCTACGACGAGGAACTCTCGTTCTTTGGTATTATCCCCGAGATCATCGGCGACTGCTGTTACGAGGAATACAAGGACCGTAGGCGGGAGAACGCCGAACGGCTGATGGACGACAGCGACAATGAGAATGGGGGCGAGGGCGCCCTGCCCTCCAGAACCTTCCGCCAGACCATGTGGAGGGCTTTCGAGAACCCGCACACCAGCACCATGGCGCTGGTCTTCTACTACGTCACCGGTTTCTTCATCGCCGTGTCGGTAATCACCAACGTGGTGGAGACGGTACCCTGCGGCAACGACCCCGGAAGCGTCAGGGACTTGCCCTGCGGCGAGAGGTACTCGGTAGCTTTCTTCTGCCTGGACACGGCTTGTGTCATGATCTTCACGGTGGAGTACCTGCTCCGATTCTTCGCCGCCCCCAGTCGCTACAGGTTCATGAGGAGCGTGATGAGCATCATTGACGTGGTGGCCATCATGCCCTACTACATTGGGTTGGTCATGACCAACAACGAGGACGTCAGCGGGGCCTTTGTCACCCTCAGGGTCTTCAGGGTCTTCAGGATCTTCAAGTTCTCGCGTCACTCCCAAGGCCTGAGGATCCTGGGCTACACCCTCAAGAGCTGTGCCTCCGAGCTGGGCTTCCTGCTCTTCTCCCTCACCATGGCCATCATCATCTTCGCCACCGTCATGTTTTACGCCGAAAAGGGCTCCACCCACAGCAAGTTCACCAGCATCCCCGCCTCCTTCTGGTACACCATCGTCACCATGACAACTCTGGGGTAAGTGGTTACAGGCTTCCCCGCTCTCCCTCTTCCCCCCCTCCCCACCCGTTCCCCTCTCTTCCCTTCTCTCCCCTGCTCCCCTTTTCCCCACTTCTCTCCCTCGCCCCCTCTCTCCCTCCCCTTCTCTCCCTCCCACCACCATTGCCATCACCCTCCCATCCCAAGTTGATGACACAAACTCTTGGCTCATTGGGTTTGAGAGAGGAAACGCACACATGTCCTCAGAGTTTCTGGAGTAAGAGTAACAGCCAAAGCCAAACCATCAACATTGATACAGAGAGAGAAAGAGAGGAATGGTACAGAGAGAGCAATGATAGATTAGAGAGAGCTATGAGAGAGAGAGAAAGAGAGAGAGAGAGAGAGAGAAAATGAGTGCAAAGATACAGAGAGAGAAAAACGATAGAATGAGAGAGATGGATGTTACAGAGAGCGCGAGAGAGAGGGGGAACAATGTCACAGAGAGAGAGAGAGAGAGCAGAGATACAGAGAGCGAACAATGATAGAGAGAATGAGAGAGACGGATGGTAAAGAGAGTGGGAGCTGTTTGGCGTTTAGCAATGTAGAGGGTGTGAAATTGACTAATTAAACCCCGGCTTCAAGTTCCCTGCAAATCGCCAGCGTACGAGGCATCACTTGATTGTGTTCTTAGAAATCAGCTTCTTTCATGTATATTGTTATCTGTATAATATATACTGTAAAACAAACTCCAGGAATCGAGTGTAGCTTAAGCTTTGTGTTGTCGTGTGGCGAAATGAAGCAGTTATAAATCTTTACAAGAAGTGAAATTGGAAGTATACCTCAGGGACCATCCGACTGAGATGCGTAGGTGTTTGTTAGATCAGGGTATCGAGGGATATGGGGCAGGGGTGGGTAATTGGAGTTGAGGTACAGATCAGCCATGATTTGTTTCGCCTACAAAAATATGGTCTATTCACTTTACAGTGTATCCTGTGAAGCACTTTGAGACGTCTCGACAACATGATAAGGCGCTGTATCGAATGCGAGGATTATTATTATCTAATAGAATGGCGACACAGGCTCGAGGGGATGAACGGCCTCCTCGTGTTCCTATGTCCCTAGGCCAGGGACAAATCTACACCCCGTTTCCGGGTGCAAATGTCCCCAGTTCCCCCAAATTCCCTGCCTTACTCTCCCAACAGTGCCACAGTCTGGTGCTGCCTGGCGCCCCGAAGCACTAAGTAGAAAGTACGCTGGACAGCTCGCCAAGTTCAGAGTGATTCTGTTTGAACGCTCCTATTTCATTAAACCCCCGAAAAGGAAATCAGAGAGGGCAACGGGGAATTGTGTGTGTGTGTGTGTCTTCCCTCCTGTTTTTCAACGGTCTATCAAAGAGCAATAAAGCTCCAAGTCTCCCTGCAATAAAAAGCAGTGATTTATTTATATTTTACCCAGGGAGGGACAGACCGTCTATATAAGCTGACAGATAAACGCTGCTCAGAGACAAATAAGTGTTTGTCAAATATCCTGGGCTAAAGCTCTGGTGGTGTGCAGGGATGTGTGAGGAGCAAGTTTCTCTCTCTCTCTCTCTCTTGCCCCCCTCAACAACCCCCCCCCCCCCCCCCCCCCACCCCCACTGCACTGCTGTGCATAATTGGCTGCCCACAAAATATCCAGTCACTACACTTTACAGTGTATTCTGTGACGCGCTTTGAGACGTCGCTAAGACGCGATGAGGCATTAATATTGTTAGTAACTGTGCGGGGGGCGATGAGGAAGGCGCTGTCCAGGGGCTGAATGTCATGCTCTGGGTTCAGTTGCTGACAGAGATGCCTTTCAGCACTGAGGACAGCGACCGCATTACTCTGAGCACTTTTTGACAAAGCACCTGGTGACCTGAAGCCAACACCAACACCAACAACAACAACAACAACAATAATAATAATGATCCTTGCGTTTGCTATCGCGGCTTATCACGTCTTTGAGACGTCTCAAAGTGCTTCACAGCAGTCTGTACCGTAGAGTGGATCTTGAGAAGCGATCTGAGACTTCCTCCCAGGTGTGACAGGGGCTCCTACGTCAAATGTAGGGGTTATTATTGTTGTTGTTGTTGTTATCTGGTACTCTTTTGCAGTGCTGGGGATGCGCACACACACGCACACACACAATAACAGGCACAAATGGTAGAAAGCAATCTGTTGATATCGTTAGCCAAAGGACATGGCCAAGGTCTTTCATTGGCAGGATGGACGATGTGTGTTGCTGTTGGGGGGGAGGGAAGGTAATGAGAATCTATCATGGTTGTTTGTAGGACATCGCTGTACGCAAATTGGCTGCTGTATTTGCCTACATAGCACAGGGCAGCTTTACATCTCCAGTAAAACCCTGCCAAGCCCTTGAGGACATCCTCTGGAATGTAAGGATTATAGCTATTTCTCGGCAGTCACGGCCTTCGCCTTGTCTGAGAGAACAGCGATTCTCTTTTTAGTATTTTATTACAGCTTCATTTGAAAATCTAACAGCAAAGCCGAACAGGAAGAAAAACAATGGCGTTGATTAATATTTTAAAATCAGTCTGTCCGCTCATGCGTTTGATAAGTCGTCTATTATCATTCTAAACCCTTTCAATCCCTCTAACATTATATTTCTTCGCCAGGGCAATCCATCCCCCGAGATTGGAACTGTCTATTCCGTCTCCAACATTAGGGAAGTGACATTACACTTTGATAACTGAAATCTATTTAAAAAAAAACCTGAAGCAACATTTGACTTTAGATACTACATTCTCTTCACCTTTAAACACACATCAATTGTAACGGAGCAAATTTGCACACAGCTGTTTTGACATGACATTTTATTTGCCTACCTGCCGAGGTAGGGCGCACACAGTCAAATATAATTGGCTTCTCATTTCCTCAGTCCATTACCGGTCTTAGAGATTTGATAATCGCAGGTTCTCTTGTCAAGAAAACTGTTAAATGTTGCATTTTCGACCCCAACAGAAAGGGAAAGCAATATATGAGGTTCGGGCTTGCTCTAAAGAAACTTTTATGATAATAATAATAATCCTGGGTTTTGATACAGCGCCTTATCACATCGTTGAGACGTCTCAAAGCGCTTCACGGGCTACGCTGTAAAATGGAGTGACTGTGTATTTTGTGGGCGAAACACAGCAGCCAATTGCGCCCAACGACGTCCCCACAAACAGTCATCTGGGCAATGGCGGGTATGATCTCACAAATATCCCTTCTATGGCACAGGTCACCACAGCGCTAATAGGATTTTTTTTATTATAAATTGACAGGTCTATTGCTAAAATTGATAAGAATTGTGCAAAGATATAAGCACATTGAAAACTATGCGTATTAGGATTGATCAGCGCTGAGTAAATAGTGGGGGCTGTCTGTGTCTCTCTCTGTGTCTCTCTCTCCGTGTCAGTCTCCCTCCTGCTGTATCTCTCTGTGTGTCTCTCGGTCTCCCTTACACTTATCTTCGACATTGATAGATATTCAGAGAATCTGATCTAATTGCATTAGGAGAGATTCCTGGCCGTGTGCATTGTGTACTTTCCATCTGACTAAAGTCTGCTTCATGTAAACTGCCGATGTATAGACAGTTACCACACTTGACAGCAATTCTCCGTTAAGCTCTTTGAGGTATTTCAAGGTTATAGGCGCTGTATCAATTGTAATCATTATCATTAGTTCACTGGCTGCCTTTGCTATCCTTTCATTAAAATAAAATAGCTGACAATCTGGGGCTATTGTTAATACAATAATGGACAAGCAATTACTAATCAATAAGTGTCTGGAGGTTACACTAAAGACTTTTTAATTCCACACGGGTAGTGAAGGCATTGTCAATGGGATGCTTCTGTGAATCCAAGGGAAAACGTTTAATTATTTGAACAAATGGAGTAAAATACTCTCTCTCTCTGCCCCTCTCTCTCTCTCTCTCTCTCTCTCTCTCTCCCTGTCTCTCTCTCTCTGTCTCTCTCACAGAGCAGCCGAGCGCTGTCTGCCCTGGGAGTGGAGGGTTTTTCTAACTTTAGCGAGCGACTGCAGGGTGCCTTTGGATAAAAATCGTTCATTTACGTCTTGGCTGATTGTGGGGACGTCGCACTGTGTGCAAATTGTCCGTTGCAGCATTCACCTACAAAGCACACAGTCACAGTAAAATCCTTGAGACGTCACAGTGATATGACAATGTACTGTATCAAACGCAAGGTACATATATATATATATACATAAGTCAGGAATAGCCTGGGTTAAATGTAGGACACAGCGATGTATCCTTCCACTGAGTCCTGCAGCTCAGTAGTTAGAGCATTCGCCTCACCAGCGAGAGGACCTGGGTTCCATTCCCAGTCAGGGCGAAACGTTGGTCAAATTTCCTTACTCCACACACACGGCGGTAAGTAAGAACCCGGTTGTTAGTCGACTGGCAGGTCCGGGGGTAATAATCCCTTAAAAGAAAGAAAAATATTAATTTGGTCACTCAATCCACGGCTGTTTGTAGGCGTGAGGGTGGGAGATTCATTCTGTGTGTACAGCCGTAACTTTCTACTCTCGCCCCCAGTGCAAAACGATGCCGAACACACACACACACACACTTGCGCAATGTCCTAAGGTATAACTATCTCCCTTAAAAGCCAGGCTGGCAGGAGAGGTAAGGTCAGTCAAGAGAGTCTGGTTCAGAAGTTCGATCGATAATCGCTCTCCTTTTCAAGTGGAAATACACCGAGAGAAAGTGTGCAAACTGTCAGCTGCCAGCAACCAAACCCAGAGTTCACACTCATCACTCCTGCACAGTTAATAATAATAATAATAATTATAATCCTTGCATTTGATACAGCGCCTTATTACGTCTTCGAGACGTCTCAAAGTGCTTCACAGGATGCACTGTAGAGCGTAGTGACTGCACATTTTGTGGGCGAAATGTGTAAATTGATGACGGAAGAATCATTGAGCAAATCGCTAGCGAAGCAACCAGGTTTACCCTGAATTTGTGATAAGCCGATCATTAAATCTCACTGCCTG